TAACTCTATGATAAATATCATAGACGGTATAAAAAAACTCAAAATTTTCAAAGCAAAATCACAAAACAAAAGGAAAATCCAAAGACAAATTCTTTATGACACCGCTTTTTATCACCATCAAATCGTATTAGCACGATTTTAGCAATTAAGCGGCATACACCCCGCCATCACCTGGTGCTTTTGCTTCCTTCTACTTCATCAACTGTCAAAGGTTGTACTGCGACAGTGCTAACTTTTGGAATTCGGCACTTTGAAATTATGTATTTTTTTTTATATTTTTTTTGTTTTCATTCAAACTCTACAAATGCTTACAGCAGGTGCATTCAACTTTTTTGGCGTATCGGTTGCCTGCTGTTTAATGGTCGGTAGTTGTTAGTTGGCTTCTTTTGTTGTTGCCTTTCTAAAAATCCAACAAAAGAATGTTTGCCGCAATCGTTTGGCAACACGGTTTTTTGACAGCCACGCAATGAGGTCGAGCATTTGTACGACTGACAGTTTTGATGCGACATTAAAAACTGTGGCAACCGCAAACACCAAATGTAGCAACAACACACAAGAGGAATAATAAGGAAAACCTAGAAATGGAATTTAGGTGCATCCTCCGCAATTTTATTATTGGGGAATTAAGAGATATTTATCTTTATTTATTACTGATAAACTGAAATGTCAACTATGTGTTAAGGGGGATAGGGAGAAAAATATTAAGGTTGGGTAGAGCTCTGTTCAATAGGTATACCTAATAGGTAAGTATACAAAAACTTTCACTTTTACTATAATACCCTTCTCAAGATCATATTTTATACCATAAAAGGGCTTAGAAAGATTTCTATTTTGATTTTTATCGGTCAGTTTCAGCAATCTGAACAATAAGTTCGAAGATTGTACCGTTGTCTATGTCAAATTTCAGGAAGATATCTTGTCAAATAAAAAAAGTTTTCATACAAGGACTTGATTTTGATCGACCAGTTTGTATTGCAGCTATATCCTATAGTAGTCCGATATTGGCGGTTCCGACTGCAGCCTTTTGAGAAAAAGCCAACAGACATGGCTAAATTGACTCAGCTCACCAGCTTCTGTGTGTTAAATACTTCGTGGAAAATTTAGTATACTTTGTTCAGGGTATAAAAATAAAGCAAGGGTCGTCAATAGGCATATGAAGTGGGTATATAAGCAGTATTTATGCTGAAATGTTGTGAGAACAAATAAACTAATCTTGTCTCTTTTGTCTCAATATAAAAATTTGACTATCTTAACAGTAAAATTTCTTTTCGAATATTACGATGTACATATGTCATCGCGATATGCACACAGTGCGAAAACTCTACTGACTAGTGGTTGAATAGGCGAGAAAAATGGAAGGCAAGTGCCTTTGTCTTAACATGCGAGGCCATTTCTGGGAGCGTTCGATAAAAAACAGTTCAAAAAGCTAATCATTGTTCCCAGAAACCAATTAGGGCCGCTTCTGGGATCTTATACAGATCATGTATTTGCCCCAAATTTATTCTCGCGATTGATTTCTAATGCAGCTTTTTCGACTTAATAACGATAGGTGTAGAGTCACAGGGGTTTTAACCTTAGTCTTATAAAGGCAGGACAGCTCATAAGGAAGTGATGAGATTATTTTAATTGGTCTTACTCCAACAACTTCTTCAACTAGTATACTAGACAAGACCTTTAGCAGCACCAAATTCATGGTCGCCCAAATTCCGTTTAGAAATACTACAATTAGGGAAAGGATAACTTTGCTGAGGCTTAGGAAATTGAGGCCTATCGAGTACTGACAGTTGACCAATTCTTATTACGCTCACTTTAGACCCAACTGTTTTTCGGTTTATCGATGATTTCTTGCATAGCAATGTGTCTAAAAAGTGGTGCGAAGGAATGCAACATCTCAACCTTTTTTTGTAGGGTATCACAGCTTCGTGGTCAACGGACATGTTGATTAATTATTTTTAGACTTTTCGCAAATCATAATTATTTACCCAATACAAACAAACATAATCGAATATATATGTATTTTATCAGTGATAAGAAATGATTTGTTTATAATATATTCCATTAAACTTAGACTGTTATGAACTGATAGCACAAAGTAGTACTGACTACTACAATATGCTAGCTTTTATATGCAAACATATATGTATTTATATGGAAGTATGCCTTAGCAACATCTTCAGTAGCATGTCTGTATGTATAATGTATTTGTAGAGCCGGCAGCATTCAAATCCAGTTTTACAAACTTGACTTAAGCGTAGCTGATATTGTACTTTTATTAGGAAAAATGCGCTTAGAAAGGCTTCACCGCCTAAAGTATATAGGAGAAATAGATATCAAGCATCGGTGGTTCAGTGGTAGAATGCTCGCCTGCCACGCGGGCGGCCCGGGTTCGATTCCCGGCCGATGCATAAGTAAAGTTTTTGCCGTTTTTTTAGAGTACTATATATAAAAACCTTCCTGGAATAAGTACTCACATAAGCGTATGATAGAGTGTAAATTTCTGCCTTCAAGCTCTTTACTAAGCTGCTAGTTCAGGTTTATTGTAATTCACACAGGTTTAATTCTGATTTTTGAAGATTTTTGACGTTTGTTTTTGATAGCTCATTATTTTGGGTCGAGAGTTTCAGAAGTATCTTATTTAAATTATGAAATATACTACCTTAATTTTGTATACTCTTACATAAGCAATGTTTTATTTTGATGAATTTCGGAACGTGAGCATAACGCTAAAGTTATAAGAAGGCGTAAACAGCAAGCTCAATCCCCTAAGCGAAAGTGATCACGCCCCTACAATGTCGATGAACTGACTAAAATGACATTTTCTGTTTCAAAATATTAGTCAATGGGACAGATAAAACGGTAAAAAATACAATGTCAATGTCAGAAAAAAAAAATTATGTAAAAATGTAGAAAAAATACATCATTTTGAAGTGGCTCTCTCTCTTTCCCCTAATCTTCATGCGCAATTATTTATTTATTTAAACAATTTCTAATATAGTTTATTACTACTATAGATTATATATAATATTATATATTTTTATAAGAAGAATATGATATCGAAAAAAGTAAATTGCATCGGCCGGGAATCGAACCCGGGCCGCCCGCGTGGCAGGCGAGCATTCTACCACTGAACCACCGATGCTCATACCAAAAAAACTCACCAAAAATGCCTAGCAAAGTTAGAGTAGTGTGATAAGAAATTGTATGTAAGAAAATTGTACTTAAATTGCAAAAAATATTCAAATTTATGGGAATATCTATTTATAAATATTTATTTTTAAACAAACGCAAGAAGTCAAAAATATAATGATATAGCATATGAAAGTGTTTAAAAATTTATATGATTATATAAAAATTTATAATAATTTATAAAAATGTCGTGATATTAGTGTAAAAGCAAAGATTCTTGACTATTGAATATTTAATGCTCAAAAATGCTAAATCGAATTTAAATTTTTAAGCCATTAAAAATATTTCCAACTTTAAGAGTTTCGTTTTATCATATTTATTTATTTTTACTAAAGATTTTACCATATTACTTATGCTTAGATGAAGAGATGAAGATCATATAATGGAAAAATCGATGATTCAATGACTTTGCCAAAATTTGAATATTTTACGAAAAATAATTAATTATTCCACAACCTATTTTTAGAATATTTTGGACTAATAAATTATGTTAGAAACAAACTTTAGACTTTCCATAATTTTTTTATAAATTTTTATTCATAGAAAGACATTTTAGACATTATTCCATACTTTTCAAAAAAAAAAGTGGTTTTTAATGCAGATTACAAAATTTTTTTTACGTAAGTTGCCTTTTATATTTCTTGATCTGGCAACCCTAGTGTTTCAAACTGGCAAAATGTATTAAATCGCGAACATTTTAGCGCGATTATTTTTTACAACTTTCGATATGGATTAACTCAGCAACAGTGCATCGCTGTACCAAATCCAATTTTTGGCGATGAAGCTCCATCAAAGACCAGTGTTTAACGATGGTATGGCGAAATCAATCGATGTCGTGGGTCACTCCAAGATGAATGTCGTGAAGGTCGTCCAAAATCAGTTGTTGTTCCGGAAAGTATTGATGCTGTGCTCAGACTGATATTGCAAGATCGTCATGTGACCTTTCGTGAGATTGAGATAACTATAGGCATTGATGGGATCATCATACATTCAATATTGCATAAGCATTTAAAACCAAACAATTTATTAATCGCTTAAAAAAAGGCTCGATTGGTCGAGAAAAATTTTAAAAAACTACTTTAGCGGTGCCTCGAAACACATCTATGACATCGTGAATTTATGCGTATGACCTCGAAAGTAAAATGAGCCTGTTTGTTTGGATAAACTGGACATGTCGCAACCATACCACTAGAGCAACGCAGAACATTAAATGCTTAATGATACACAAACATTTGTTTGCCAGCTGTCTTTCAAGAAATCAGGAAAACCAATCGCCGAAGACGGATCACTTTTCACCACGACAATGCGAGCTTTAACACATCGACTGAAACAACTGCATTTCTGAGCACTTAAAACATCGATTTGATGAGTCATCCACCATATAGTCCTGACCTGGCACCGAATTACTTTTTTTTTATTTCCGTAAAACATAAACTAAGAGGTCAACGTTTTTCAACATCTGAAGAGGCCGTTGATACGTTCAGAACGCATGTTTTCTTCTTCTTTGATCTTAATGGAGAACATTTTTAAAAACAATAAAGGGACATTTTTAAAAACAATAAAGAACATTTGTTGTTGTTCTCTAATACCGAAATATAAAAGACCACCCTAGTAATTTCTAATTTATTTTGAAAAAAATAATAATAATAATTTCTAAACATTATTTAAATTTTTTTTGCTATTATTTATTAAATTTTTTAGTTGTCGTAATTTTTATATTTAATTGCTCGTATATGTTTTTTAAACCAATTTTTAGATTTTCAAAACATTGTCACACTTTTTTATATCATTCTTTCACTCTTCGCTTTTTTCAGATCTGGTGGACTGCATTGTCTGTCGCCTTGGGTTTAGATGTGCGCGGTGATATAATCAAAGGTGTGCCATGCATCAAACGTTACCATCAATTATTCTGTCCGACGGCGGGCAACAGCTATCCAATGTAAGTGACCAAATGCTTCTAAATATGTGCGTGAGTGTGAGTGATTGTATACGTTTGTAAGCCGTTTAAGCTTATCGCCATTTAAGGCGGTAAACAACTAATCACTTGGCGTTTGAGCTCATTTGATTTGATTATCGCAAATTAGCACGCCGGCAGATTTTTCAATATTATTTTTCGTTTTCATACATACAAACAATTTTGATTTCTTTTTCGTTTCTTTGTTTTTTTTTAACCCTAACCTTAAAACCTTATCATTAAGCTGTTGGCTGTAATTATGAGAAAATTAAAATTTTGTATTTGCTGTTAGATAATTAAAAAATTGCATGCAATATTGTTATAAACTCATTTGCTCTAAGCTAAATAAATGCAGAATTCAAATTTTTTATCTAATAAAACAAAAAATAAAAACATATAGAGAAGAGGAAAAATTAATAAGAAATAAATAAAGCAAGAAGACAACAAAATCGTAAAAAAAAATAAAAAGAAAAAGTTAAAAAAAAATATTCACACTTAATTTATATTAATTAACTGTAAGCAGAAATGCAACCTACTTCGCTCGAAATTTTTTTGAAAATTAATGTAACTAAGGTTTAATAAAAAGTCATTAACACCGTTATTTATGTATTTTTTTCTTTGCTAGCGATTTATAATGGTTTTATTTATGTGTTTTGAATTGAATATTTTATGTTGACGCGGTCAAGTGTTATACTAATTTGCTTGGCCAAATATAATCACAAATTAATTTATTTTATTTCTAATCAAATTATTATGTAAGTATAAACAATTTTTTTTCAATATTTTTGCTCGAAACAATTTTTCTTTTTTCTGTTCAAATATATTACATACAAAAGCTTTTACCATAAACGTAGCGAGTATTGAATACAATTTGTTTTTTTTATACCCTGAAAAGGGTATATTAAGTTTGCCACAAAGTTTGTAACAGCCAGGCGGAAACGTCGGAGATCCTATAAAATATATACATAAATGATCAGCATGATGAACTGAGTTGATTTAGCCATGTCCGTCTGTCTGTCTGTATTTTCACAAGCTTGTCCCTAAGTTTAGAAGCTATCGATCTGAAATTTCGCACCTGTCTTTTCTTCACTAAGAAGCTGCTCATTTGTCGGAACGGCCGATATCGGACACCTATAGCATATAGCTGCCACACAAACTGAACAACCGGAATCAAGTGCTTGCATGGGAAACTTTTTTATTTGACGAGGTATCTTCACGAAATTAGATAGGAATCAAGTTCTTGTAAGGAACCTTTGTATTTGTGAAGGACATTATAGCTTTGGTGCAATCGAAGTTAACGTTTTTTCTTGTTTTTGTTTCTTTTCTCGTTTTACAATTGACAATTTGACAATTGAAGACAAAAGTCGTGTGTTCTGTTCTGTTCATTCTACTGTGAATGTCATTATCGAGTTTTTCTTCTTTTTAATAACTTATTTTCTGGATCTTTTTCGCTCAATTATAAACTTCAAAAGTAAGGTAAAAAGGCGAATTGAAAAAAAAAACTACTGTATCAATTGATTTTAGAATATTTTAAGAATACAACTGAAAGATTTAAAAAAAAAAAATTAAATGTGTTTAGGGTTTTCTACTTGGATGAAACCTAAAAAACATTCTCACTAGATAATATTTTCCGAACAATGGCCTACGGTTGGAAAAAAATCTAAAATAGAAAAAGTGGCGTTTTTGAATAAAAAAAAATTGAATTTTACTCGAGTTTTGGTCGTTTTAGGCCTGCTAAAACTCGATTTTTGATCAGATCAAAAAACTGGCAGAAGAACCAGAACCACAAAACATGCAAAAAATATTTGATAGTGATCATTTGCCACCGAGTAATCACTGCAGCAAATTCGATAAAATGCTGTTTCGAGAAAAACGACTTTAAAGATAACTGATATGATAAAGCTAATTGAACTTTTTGGACTGAGCGGGAACACTTTAAAAATATTTATTTAAAATTTTAGTATAGTATTTTTAGAGGTATACCTTTAGAAATATGCAAAACACTTGTGAAAAGGTTAAATTCCTTTTTATTTTATTTTTTTTTTTTGTTTTCCCAGCTATCATAGTCTCTGATCTACTTGTTATTGGATGAAGGTGCGTAATGGAAGTATCTTCAAATTGGGAAGCCATACATTAGTTTAGGCACCGTGAGTTATCTACTCGATTAGAGTTATTTTTCGTAATGACGTAATATGAAACACCGTACCCATGGAGTTCTACTAAATACCAATCAAAACTCGCTTAATTTAACATTATTTTGAGTTTTTTCACCGAATTGCTAAATAGAACGACTTAAAATAGGACTTTCTAGAGACTACCTAACATAGGTTCTGGATCTCTGGGGTTACCTTAATAAGGGGTATTATAATACTCAATTCACATTTACGCAAAACTAGAATTTTTTAGTCTGTCCATTAGCCACACTACTACTTACACAGTAGAAGGGGGTTTTCAGAGACATAACGTACTCCTGCAGCATATTATTTTCAATTGTATAGCCAGCTTCAAGTTCGCTTGAAAACATAATCGAGTTTATGGCTGGGTGCAAGGTCACACGCGCATGCTCATAAATTTGTCATTTCCATAAAAATAAATAACAAAGAAGTGATGCTTTTAGCACAAATCCATTAATACTTTTAAAATTTTAGCATCTAAATATATTATGCGAGTATTTTCTTAATTTACAAGCTGTTTATGGGTAAATTGGTTTAAATGTTCAAAAACCGGATATACAAATTTATAAACTCGCCATTCAAAACTCATTTGATAAACGCATTAGAACTTATTTGCCAATGCAATTCTAAAAAAGGAGATTCTACAGTTATTATTTTGTGCGTAGTATTGTAGTATTTACAAGTATAATATATAGCAGCATTTCTACTTTGAACAGTTATATGTAGCGGCTGATGGCAGCAATGAAATAAATATATGACGAAAATACAATTTTATTCTAGCACAAAAGAAATTTTTATATTTAAATTATATTAGTTTCGCGCAAATCCTCACATGCTCAATCGGTTTAAATCTGAGAATTGTGTTTTGATTACTTTATTCTACTTTTCATTCAAACTAAGTTAATTCTTTCATAATACATATATTATTAATATTTTATACTATAATATAATTTATTTTCGTTTTTGTTTACTTTCCAATGAATTGACAAAAAAAAAACCGAATTCCCATGTCTCTTTTCGATCATAACTCGTTTTGAGATACTTTAAATATTTTTCACAAGCCACAACAAATTGAAAGGCATGTATTATTAAAAATAAATAAAAAATACATTTGTAATATTTAATTGCGACAGATTTGCATTTTTTTTTTTGTGTTTTGAGTTTTGTTTTCGCTTCCGTTAAAATTCCGTTAAATGAGTGCTACGACCTTAACTGGCACAAGCGCCATCCAGAATGATTCAGTGAATTATTTTTAGTAAGCATGTTAGGTACAAAAATATCCAAAGAACTTGTTTACACATAACATAACCTGGCCTAAAGTAACCTAGCCTACAACGAAGTTTATCTACATGAAAAAGGGATGGAGACTTTCGTTTAATATTAAGACATAAATATCTGTATCCCGTACTGGACTATTTTCTTGTCTTCGAAGAAACCGGGTTTTTGCGTGATATTAGTAATAATTTGCGAACAATATGAAGGCTGACAGACTTAGTAAACATATCGCTACTAAAACGTATAGTTGGTTAGAAATACATTTCATTATATGTTTATCAACACAGGTCAGATTGAATTAATCTCTATAAAATACATTTGAGAACTACTATCCAAGATATATCTTTAGGAAAAAACAAGGAATTAATTATTCCCAAACTGTATCTTGAGTAAAATTGGACTCAAACAATTACTACTCCATAAAAGCTTAAAAACGATTTGCGTTTCTGATCCTTCGGGTACAGGGGAACACTTCATTTCGTATAATATAATAAGTTCCATTAGTCTTTTGCAGATAACCGTAGACTTATGCCGGTCTTGCATTAAAATTGATACCTAATATCTCATCCTAAAGATGTTGATTGAAAGAGACATTTTCCCTATCCCCAAGAAACGATTTGTGTAAAAGTTTATTTTATGCTTCGTTCTTACTATCTTATCGTCGAAGACTGTTCACACGATAATGTTAATTTGGTAAAAAGTAAAATATAAATATGTTGGGGCTTAATGAGATTCAAATATGTTCCATTTAGTCTAGCTTACGGAGTTTTTATGTTAAGTTTGTCGAATAGCCTAAAGTAAACTGGAGATCTAATCTACAAAAGATACATAGATTACAAGCAAAAATGAGTTTTACACTATTGGTTATTCTCATATTATAAAGGCTTTGAAGATAATTTTCTCTCTTGAACCATGAATAAGTTGCGCTCCATTAGTCAACGAAGTGAGAATGAATACTTCTTTCTCTCATTAAAAGAACGTATCAGTAGAGAGTACGAAATAGTTTGCTCTACCGGCAGTCGGATCTACGTAAACGGACCCTGATATTTATTAGGCTAAGAGTTGTCAACGCGGCTGAACTTTTCAAAATTATTTGGGAATAGATTTTTGACACTAAAGCAATAGTCGAATACGATTGTTGAAGCAGCAATCTTTTGTCACATCAAAACGAAGATATTAGCGAACAATTGATCGCAAATTAAGTTAGTTTTGTAGTCTGACGTCTTATATACTACACATAGCACTCGGTGGCTTTCAAATTCATTATACTCAAAGTTTTGCCTTCAAAATCAAATAGCCGGTATTATTTGGATGTGATCTCCCAAACTCTCTAGATTTTCACCAGTTACATATGCACAAAACAAAATGAAATGCTAATAATATGCCCACTTAGAGTAGCTCCGTTGATTTGTCATAATAAAATTTACGGTATAAAATATTTAAGCACACCCATCTATCACTTAATGGTTTTCGGAAGTGTCTGAGGAGTGAAAAGCATGTCTATATATTTATATGCAAGTATGTGAATTTCTGACGCCTTCATTTTGGAAGAGAACATTTGTATGAAACATGATATAAAATGTATACAAATAGCAGTCAAGTTCTCTGCGGGGGCGCAAACGTTGAAAAAGACGTGGAAATTAATTAGAAAAAATGTTCTTTTACAACATGAGACGAGTACATTTACAACTTGTAAACCCGCACAAACTGATTTGCAATGTAAACAATTAATGAATGAATGAGTAATGGAATATTTATAATATATGCATCAATAGTAACAAATATGTTTCGTCAATGAAATTCCATTGCGATTAAGGTAGATACACACATACATTTATAAGTATATTATGACAGATGAGTGAATTGAAAGGTGTGAGCACACGCCCACTCGAGCTATCATTGTTGTGATATATAGTCGTAGTATTTGACAGTTGTAACTGTGGTTTCGATTACTAGAAGGTAGTGGAATAAAGGTTTGATAATTGACTTCATTACTTCAAATGATACTTTAGAATCGATATTTTGTACAAGTCTTAGAGGTAACAGCTTTTATATCTCTAAACTTATCGACGGTTGACTAAAATTCTCGAAATCACTGAAAACTCAGACTTTTAGCTAACAGGTATAGATTTCCTCTCTAGTTCTAAATTTTCTTTTTTCTTTGATACTATAGTTCAGGTAAGATAGCTGATCCCTCAAGACTGCTTTGTATAGTTCTTTGTGAAGCCAGATAAAAACTGCTGTAGTTCAATATCAGCTATCGGCAAAGAGCCTGCTTAGATGCTGTACTTCAATATTCTCTTTTTCATATAGATGTCTAAAAGTATGAGATCCGAGGTGATTTAGCTTTGATCTGGCAAAGGCGGGACAGCTTATGCAACTGACATTCGGTAAAATGTTCAATCTTACCGCATGAATTTCGATTGGAAGTGATAACTGTAGTTGACCACCACTTGCTGAGATGGTCTGAGGCTCAACCATCCATAACTGAGCTAGAAAGCTAATCAGCCTTACTGTTTCCTGCAATACCGCTGTGGTCAGACACCCAAACCAGTCTAATCACATAGTAACGCGATGACTGAAATGAGGAGTCTAGACATCCCTTAACTAGTTTTGAGCATACAGTCAGATCTACTACTACCTCTATTGTAGCCACTACAAAAATTCTCTCTTTGATGCTATACTCACCATACACTTTATGACATTATATGCTTAATACTCCTTACTGAAATCGCTCTTGTATTAACCACATTTCGCCATCAATCTTCTCTTTGCAGTGATAAAATTGAACGTTTCATTGACGACAACAAGGCACTGATGCGACGAATGTATGGTGATTTTGAAATGAATCTGGAGCCTGGCGGACCACAGTCACAAACGAAGAAACGCAAGCGTAGATTCATTGATGATCCCGATATATTCATACCACCAGGCGCATTTCCGGCCTTGGTGCCGGATGATGATGGTAGCACGGAACCACATGCTGAGGAAGCTGGCGAAAGTTACTTTGGCAAGTTGCGCAACAAACGACAGGCGAATCGAAATGCGAATAAAGCGAATACGAATACGTTTGCGAATGCTGGACAGAATACGGGAAGGTGAGCAGTTCATCGAATATTTATTTAGAGAAAAATTTATTATAATATATTTTCAAACTACTACTAAAGAGTGGACGCTTGCGAGTCTAAGGTGGAGATCGTCACGCCCTTTTGGGCCTCCAATTCGGCGGGTAAAATACGCGCCATTGTGAATACACAGCACTTTGAGCAGGCCATACATCAGGAGGTTTGCACGTAAGTTGCTGATTTTTTTTTTTCATAATAACGAATATTTTAAAAAAGCTACTTTTTATTATTCTTTTAGCACGCCAGCAACATCGCGCTGTGATCGCGACTGCGGTTGTGAGCAAAAGTATAAATGGCATCGTCTTCTAGCCTATGATCCGGACAATGATTGTAAGGGCATCTTTATGGACTGGTTCCTCTTTCCATCGTGTTGCGTTTGCAGGTGTAAGCCATAAGCATTTCAGAATTTGTGGCGCTCATGTGACAACGAACCCAACAGTTCACTTAACATTTCATTAGACTTAAGTCAAATAAGTAATCTGCTTAAACTCGTTAGCGTCTAAGTTAAGCAACACACTCTACACTTTTTTAAATCGAATTAGTTAATCATTTTCAAATTTTAATTTTACTCAATTCGCACACATTTTTAGGTTAGGTTTACTAGAATAAGTAAATTTTAGTTTTTAGCGAAGTATTTGCAAGTTAAAATAGCGCTAAAACATGGCAACTCTGCTAAACATGTATAAGTAGCAGTTATAGTTCTGTACTCATAAGTTACTTGCTTAAATTAGTAGTTCAAAAATATTAGTTGTTTTAAAAATTACTTTACTTTACTATCAATATTATTATATAACTTTTAAGTATTGATAATTAAATAAGTTGTTTCCAAATATTTCGAGGTGTTCATTTTGCTTTTAGAACTCATATTTTTAAAATATTATGATTTCTTTCTTGAATTGACAATTTTGATTTTTATATATTTTTTAGTTCTAGCAAATATTTGCAGAGATTTTACTTCACTATAATAATTTTTTGAAATTTTGAAATAAAATATGTAAGTATGCTAAGTACTTCATACTATATATGTATATAGATATGTATTTGCATATGTGGTATCAAATTATATTCAGAAAGTTTCGAGCATAAAAATCAATAAATTCTAATAAAGTTAATAATTAGTAAAAAAAAAGTTAAGATTTTTTATTTATATACCAGATAATGGGGTACCTACGCTATACATGAGATGAAAAGTATTTGGTCAGACCGAGAAATCGCGCCATAAAAAAATTTCTATCCATATCTTAGGGTACCTGTCAAATTTCCATAAGTTCTCAAACTACTGCTCTCAAACTGACGCCATCTGTGCTATTTATGAAAATCACGAAATCATGTTGCAAACTAGCTTGAGGGAATATCATTGATAAAGAAAACAAATAGCAATGGAACTGTGACCCTAACCTGTGGAAGCTGATGAAATGACTGATGAATTAGATATGCGTTTTTGCTAAGTTCAGTCCACGGTGGAAGCGTCTGAATTAGGTTCCCACTCATGGGTATTTAGACAAAACAGGTTTATAACTTATTCTCTTTTATTTTTAACAATATACTCGGCGCAGTGGACCTAGAATTGTTTTTTGAAGCCTAGTTTTTAAGCAAAAGGACACAGAGTTCATGAATAAAAGACCAAGTGTTTTCTTTTATGACGTGACATGTGACAAACTTGTCTCTATTAAACTTGATAATTGATTTCGACGGCTAGTTAATGATTGAATCAGTCAACAACATATATAATAATTATAATGTTTGAGCAATTTATTGTAATAAACTCAAAATGGCTAAATCAAATATAATATATTATATTCGCAGGCAAAATAGTAGGCGTTAAATAAATATGATGTGAGAGGTAAGTGATGTTTTTACTAACCAGAAACCTTGTAGGTCATCGTTTTGAAGACACTGAAATAAAAGAAAATATGCCAATATTTGAGTACAAAAATCTTTAAAATTATTGTCACATATTTTTAATAAGAGTTGGCGGAAAAATATTTTAAATATATATTTATATAGTATATTATTAGTTTCGTATGGTGTCACAATGTTGTCACATAATCTGATTGGGTTTTTTCTTTTCGAACATAAGCGAAACCAATATTCGAATCAGCTGTTTACTATTGTGACAAAACTTGCAAATTAATAAATGTCAAATCATTTGATAAATTTATAATACTAAATAAAGTCTAATAAAGTTTGCAATTAGTTACGCTATTTTAGCTTTTCTTTTGTTGGATGAAAAAAGCAATGAAAAAATTAAAATAAAGATATTAAAAGATTACAGTAATCAACTTGATGTAACAGGGGAGTCGCATGTAAAATTTGGCTTGCACTTACTTGAATGTTTATGGGCATGCTTACTTTACCGATTTATATCACAATATCGATCTGAATAAAGACGCATTTGCGTGTTAAATTATGTTTTGTAAATCCTCTGAAAATATTTGGATTTTTCCACAAACTCACTTTTTATGACATTTTTTGTTTTATTCTTATGTTTTCCCCCATAGAAAAAAGAATAAATTAAATCGTTACAATAATATAAATAAATGTCTTAACTTAAATTTCAAATCTGTCAGCGACTATTCTTTTGCTTTGTTTCTGATAACAAAACCGATGGTTTCCATGACACCCAAAATCAATACAATTTCTGTTTCGAATATCAAACCAATAATATCTGAGGTCAAGACACCTACTACTTTTTTTTTATCGGTTTCAATGCTGATTCCGACTACTGTCAGATTCTACAACACCGCTGATTGGTTTCAAACTTGCATGCATGACCTTAAGCTTGAATACTCGTATTCTATAATGGTAAATATTTTATTGATAATAAAATAAATAAAAATTTGAAAATTTATAAAAAGTAAATTGCATCGGCCGGGAATCGAACCCGGGCCGCCCGCGTGGCAGGCGAGCATTCTACCACTGAACCACCGATGCTTTTAAAAAATTCTTACACTATTGACGTTTTGAGCGGAAGCTAGTTATTTGCAATAGGTTTACAACACAGAGCGCACTAGAAATCTAAAAATACACAAACTCTATTTAGTTTACTAGTATTGAGTTTTGCAATTTAAGCAGAGAATTTCTTGTTCCTATATATTAACCACGGTGTAGTTAAATAAACCGAGCAAAGGTAGATGTCAATGCTAAATACAGTGGCGCTGTAACTGCGCAGTGAACCTATGCCACATACAGCTAATCATTTATTTTTTATTATTAAAATTATAAAATTTTTAACGAATTTGCATTTGTAAAGTAAATTAAAACCTTGTAATTTTTTTAATTTACAATATTGTAATTTTTGAATTTAGTTTTTTAAATTAATCTGTGTGGTCTATTTTTGAAGCTTAAACAGTTTACTACTACTATTATTGTTTTTTAATATATTCTTATATATAGTATTTGTTTTTATTTACAGAATTGCATTGTTAAGTGTTTTCACAAGCATTTTAATGTGTTCACTTAAACAGTTCTATGAAATATATATAACATAAATTCTTTTCGCCTTAATGAGTCCCGTTTAGATATTTAGCGCTAAAAGTATGCATATAGGACACATCCCAATGAGGAATATACTCACACATAAATACCTAAGCGTTCATAAATTTTGTCATTTACTTCCTTTGACAATTTTGATGAGATTAATTTGAAAAAGAAAGTGCTAAAACTGGAGCGGGAATAGCAGAAATTTATTAAAGGCTCAACGTAACACATGCATACATGTGTACTCAGTTTGACTTGTTCAAAGAAAATTGAAAAGGAAATATATTTATTTTATTATTTACATATAATTCTAAGGCTGAAGAACTGTACACAATTTAATAAAAACCATTATGCATACTAGTTTCTAGTCGCTTTTGATCTTCTTTTGTCTTTAGTAATCCTTATTAACATAATATTATGAATAGCAGTTCGTAAAAATATATATTTGAATATTAAACCGAGTTTCTATAAGGATTTAGCATTATAATTAAATTTAATTGCTTAAACAGTGATTATCTAGTACATACTGTAGATACATTTCCTCAGAGATAACGAGCTAGCATGCTTTTAGGCTTGCTTATAATGCTTATCAGTATTTATAATGGGAATTCCAAAATAACTAATAATAATAATAATAAATTAAACAAAATCGCTATTTAAAAGGAAAAATTAATTTGCGACGAAATAAACCGTTTCACTTTAAAAAATTTCGCAATTTAACATCCAAACAAAAGTTATAAAAATAAAAAAAAATTATAACTGTTTCCGCCCGGGATCGAACCGGGGGCCTTCCGCGTGTTAGGCGGATGTGATAACCACTACACCACGGAAACACACAATTATAACGTTGGACTAACAGATATTTTTTACTGTTATTCCTTATAAATATGTACCAATAACTCATTATATGTATATTTCTATATGTCAAACTCTTGCATAAATATTATGAAAACTGGAATCCAATTTTGAAGCCTCAAACTTTGATATATCGCTTGATAGGTATCTATGGAATTTAATCGATATTTTTAACTTTTGAACTCAATACGAGAATAAAGAGTTCCATTCTCTCAAACTTTGCTCTTACTTAGAATCATTCGAAATGAAATAGACTCAACTTTGAATCGCACGCACATCGCAAAATCCAGCAAGGAGTAATTTTCTTATCAAAACGAAACTTCGAATTCATCATTCGTACTTTTTCACAACCATATTCAAGAAATTTTTAAGAAAATTTTAAACTCATAGATTCCTATTAGAAAAGGGGATTGAATTCATTAGCACAAAATTTTATGAACACATTTGCGGTTTTAATAGCACTTGAAGATTATCTTAACCGAGTACGTTGAGAAAACTTTCAGTGTGAGACTACAAATATGAACCAGAAAAAGATTGAAAAAACAAGAAAGCTACAAAGAAATACCAGGTTAATATGGGCAAACCTCGGATTATATTTTTGAAAATATAAATCGTTTAACCAAAGGTATACCTTCAGATGTTTTAGCACAAAATGAGGTTGATGCTACTTCCCTGCGGTTTACCAGCCAACTTCTTCATAAAGATGATTAATTATCTCAATTAGCCAATTGTCTACATTAAGAATCATTTTGAAACCTCTATCAGTAGTCAGATTTGTATAATATTTGCCAAATATTAAGATACCGTGCAAGAGGCAATAGAAACTTTTTCAAATTTTGCTTATTTTCGTACATCATTGTAAGAAAATGCAATGCTTTCCTCAGACCGCGCCTCTTCTACTTTGAAATCGCTATCTAAAACTATACTACTTACGCATATTGCGATGTTTTTTGAACGACCATCACTTCATTTAAACTCAGACACCAGTTTGTGGCACTTAGTACATGTATTGGCGAGATTGTGACATCTCCCTTCTCCTACTGCCATTGCCACACATACCATAATCATTAAATTTTACGACTGTCCATTCTGTGAAATAACTCAATTCAATAGACGGCGCAGAAATAAGTGAGAACACTTCAAAGTTGTTCAAGGATACAGCGCCATACCCCACATACTTGTAGCACCAGATAGCTGGGCTCCTTATGCAATTTACCCTCTGATTGCATTGTGTGTATGTTTTAAACGGCCTATCATCATATTATCACGACTTTTTGCAACTGCATTTAATCGCCTCTGCACTGGACAAAGTTGCAGGGATTAGATGGGAGTGGTCGCGGTGCGGGTATAAGACTGTCATCACACCCTGGTGGAGGGTGCGAAACTTGAGCATGTCATCATCACTGAATTATGAATAGATTGCATTCGGTGATGGCATTAATGGATAATTCCGTACTCGTCGCAATGAATGGTCATTTGAGGGTGTATTGGTGACAGTTGTTGTAAACATTGGCATCATGCTAAAGCAGATTTGTCGAGTATTTTCGACCCAGTAGGAATGTTATAGATGCGGTTAGGTTGATTAAACGTTTATAAGGTAATAATTTCAGTGAGTTTGAGAGATCATATAATCGAAATTTCAATACCCAATCATTTAATTTCTAAAACAAGGAAACATAAATCCTAATCATTCTAGTTTTTCATAAGTTTATAGGTAAATCTCTCTTCTACTGTTATTAAACGATTATACCCTACGATCAATGTGGTAATATGACAAGTCCGCATGTACTGCAT